GTGCTATTGCAGCACTATTGCAGCTTGTCTTATAGGCCGGAATCAATTCGTCTTTGCTATAGCTTTATTTTAAAAAATAATTTTTTCAGCTCCTAAATAGAGTTTTTTAAATTGATTCATTTTTTAAAATTATTTTTCACTAAAAAATTCACTTTTGGTACCACAATTTCAGGCCAACCCCTCAAAAAATAATTCCCTCTATTACTCTGTAACAGTTATATAACTTTTTAAAATGATATACTGCAGTAGCAGATATATAAAAAGTACATTCGGTTTACATTTACACTAAAATAACATGTAAGATTGACAACATAAGTGTGCTGAATGTGTATTTGATTACTTCGTTCGAAAATTCGTTTTGTTCTTCGTGTGTTTGCATAATAGTCGATATCCCCAAAAAAAAAATTCGCTTGTGTGGTACTTACTGAAATGTAATTTGGGATTTTTTTCCGCGATTCGTTTTCTGGAGCCAAGAGTATCGATTTGAAATTTTTTCATTTTAGCTGTTTCTCTTCTCTTGCAGTTTACTTACTTACTTTGGCTGTTAACTGTTAACTGGATGTAAGGCAACGAGTAAGTAAGACTACTCTACTTTACTTTTAAAGGCTGTCTTAGTATATACTTACTAGTTAGATGAATAGATATGGCTATGGCTGATGATAGAGTAGAGATGGTAGTGGAAGCAGGATGGAATGGGGTGAGCTTTAGCTGTATATATGAGTTTTGGATGCGTGTTTGAGTGAGTTGTTGTGTTTGGAGCCTTTTTAGGCATGGGTTAGCCTAGGCATAGGCTTATTCGGGGCAGTTGTCTTGGGTCGTTGTCTTGGCCTGTTTTTGGTTCGGAGTTGTCTGGCCGTCTTGGCCCAGCTTGTCCTAGCCTACTCCGGCCTATCCGGCCCTATTCTGACCGACCGTCTTGTCCTGTCCTATTCTATTTGACCGTCTTGGCTGTCCTGTCCTGTCCTGTCCTATTCTATTTGACCGTCTTGGCTGTCCTGTCCTATTCTATTTGACCGTCTTGGCTGTCCTGTCCTCCAGCTATTCTGACCGTCTTGTCCGGTCTTACCTTATTCTGACCGACCGTCTTATCCTGTCTTACCCTATTCTGACCATCCATCTTGTCCGGTCTTACCCTATTCTGACCATCCATCTTGTCCGGTCCTACCCTATTCTGACCGACCATTTTGTCTTGTCCTGTCTTATTTTGACCGTCTTGTCTTGTCCCATCCTCGTTATCATCCCAAACCTGATGCCTTCCACATCTACTCCCCTACTCAATCCTCCTCCCATTCTACTCTAGTCCAATCAAACAACCACCCCACCCCACCCCANTAACCACCCAGCCAAAACATTCTATCGATTTTACTTTTCAAGCCCCACTAACACCACCATCAGCACAATCTTCTACTACTGGCCTAACTCTATGAAAACTACCAATTCCTACCAATCCTATTGCTTTATTTTTTCCGCCTTTTGTTAGTTTTTAATGATGCGTTCGCTTCTATATGACTGCTTATATGTTGCTGTCATATTTATTGTTCTATTACATCCCAACCCATCGTATGAAAACGAATTGTATTGCGTTGTGTTGAGTTAAGCCCTAAGCCTAGGCTGCACTAGGCTAGATTGGTCTGGCTGGTTGGCTAGCTATTGGGCTGCTGGATTGTATCGGTCGATATTTCCATTCGATTCAGTGGAATTCAATTCAAGTACCAGAAGGAGGAGGAGCAGCAGTAGCTGAAGAAGTAGTAATATAACTGCTAAACAAGTAGTACCAAACACAGTGAACATTCATTCATATTCAGTTGGTGAATTGAATTTGGTGGTTTGTCTTCTAAAGCAGCTAGTTTGGAAGCTTAGGCTTTAGCTATGACTCTGGGCTGCTCCTATAGATGGCTGCTACTGGCCTCATTCCCTATTCCTTATTGCTGGTTCCGGCGGCTTAGGCTTAGATATGAGCAATCGAATTGAATCATTTTACTTGAAGACAACGAGCGAGGCTGGTTGGGAGGCAGTTAGGTGGTAGTTGGCTAGTTTGTAGGATTCGGATGGCGTTCAGTTGATTGTTGAGTCTGGAATGGAAGGAGTGGGTCGTTGGGTATGTGGGTGAGGCATTTGATTTTCATTTTAGGCTTGAGCTTGAGCTTGAGTTTGGGTTGGGCTTGAGTTTAGGCTTGCATCGGTTCTTTGAAAAATTTTGATTTTTTAACAAGTGAATTGCCGATTGAGTTGGTCGAGTATAGGACTTGGTTAATGTTTTATCGGTGATAAGGTGATAAGAGCTTATCAGTTTATCAGTGATAAGGTTATCAGTTTATTAGTCAGTTTATTACCTTATCGGTTGGGAAAATTGGGTGAGACTTGAAATGGACGGTCATTTGATGAATTGGCTTGGTGCTCGATCACTAAATTATAGTAACTTGGCTATAGTAAGTAACTTGTCTAAATAGTAACTTGGCTATAGTAAGTAATTCGTCTATAGAGTAACTTGGCTATTATAGTAACTTGTCCAAATTATAGTAAGTTTCAATAACTTGGCTTAGACGTTACACTACAACGAGAATTTATGCTGGTGATTGGTTCGTAATGTTTGTTTCGTTTTCATTTATTCGTTTCTGTAAGATGTGTTATGGACTGATAAGGTTTCATCGGACTGATAAGGTGATAAGCTTATCACCTTATCAGTAGTTTATCAGTTTATCAGTACACTTAGTTTTGGAACTATGGCAATTTTAGGGAAGATTTCGGTGTTTTTGGTGGAGACAATTTTTTGCATACACACACTCTCTCGTCGATTTTCTCATTCTCTCGTTCTCTTCCTACGATTCGGCTCTCTAGCATTCTCTCGTTGTCTGTTTTATCTATCGTCAGCGATCTCTCGTCGGTTCTCTGCTTCTTTTCCTCTCTCATTCTTTGCCACTCTATTAATTTTTCTCATTCTCTGCTCTGCCCAGACAATTTTTTTGCTGGATTTAGCAAATCCATCCGAATCCATTCCATTTCATTTGATTTAAATTAGTGAATTTATTGGTTTCCTTTGGTTGCTTCGAAAATTTTTCCCAAAAAAAAGAAATTGCCCCCGAAAAAGGAAAAGGAAAGATAAATGGGCGGCAGAGAACGAGAGGAACTACCGTAAGACTTGAGGGCGTTTACGCTCTGCTTCTCTCAATTTGTCACACTTTCTCATCCATGCTTTTCGTCTGCTTTCTCGTTTTCATGCGCTCTTTCCTCGCGGCTCTCGTTCTGTTCCGCCTCAGTGGCAGCATTTGCTGCATGACACCAAATTCGTTTACGGTAGCTATCATTAGAGACTGCAATTTAGAAATTTTGGAAATATTTTTGGCCATATCTAAGCA